TCCCTTTATCTTTTCCCTTGGTTTCTAGATTGGAGCCATTGCCTATTTTGACTAAGCAAATTCATTACTTAGGAAGAACTAAAACATACTTTTAAAAAGTGTTTCTTTCGTGTCAAAATGGTATGGGTTTGCTTTCACCAGTTCAAAAAAGTAAGGCATTAAATAAACCCTCACAACCTAATAGAATCACTGGAGTAAATCTTGTGTGGCCTAAAGGGTTATTCCAGTTGATGTCAATGCTGGATACACAGTTACTTAATAAATGCTTACTGAGAGAATATACGAATGAGAAAAATTATCTTTAGTTAATTACTACTTTTTTAAGACTTTCACTCTGTTGTCACACTTTAAACTCACAATAATCATGTGATTAGCTGAAATTCTATATTAGTTTTATGTAAAACTATGCTGGCTCTTCCCACCTGAAATAGGATTGCAGTACATGGTTGCTTTGAAAATTGTAACCAAAAAAACAAAAATGATCTGAGTACTAACGCCAAAAATTTTGCTGATGAAACAATGGAAACAACTGGATTTAAAGGTGAATACAGGGGACTTCCCTGGTGGTCCAGTGGTTAAGATTTTGCCTTCCAATGCAAGAGGTGCGGGTTCGATCCCTGGTCGGGGAGCTACAATCCCACATGCCTTGCGGCCAATAAAACCAAAACAGAAGCAATACTGTAACAAATTCAATAAAGACTTAAAAAAAAAAATGCATACAAGTTGACATGGGCAGCCGGGCATGGTATTTTATCACATGGCCTTCCGAAACCAAACCACTCATTTCTCATATGACTTGAGGCACGTGATTTAACTTCTCTGAGCTTCAGCATCTTATCTCTATAATGTCAATGTTAACGGGACCTATTGTAACCGAGTAGTTCACATGAAAGACTCAGAATTGTGCCAAAATTAACATTTACTGAGTATTCTGAAGATGCTGAAGGAGATGATGATGATGTAATAATGGCAGGGACTGGACTCGGGTTTTCACGTTCAGGCCATTTTCCTCCTTGTCCTGGTGTTTGGAGCTTGGGTCTTCTTATTTCCAACTGCTTTGATCTCAAGGAAGCTTGGTAGTAGGGCTTTATCTCTAGAGCCGGATGATTAATGTTTATTGTGTGTCCTCTTTCAGAAAGTGCAAGTGGTGGTAACTGTTTTGGACTATGACAAGATTGGCAAGAACGATGCCATCGGCAAAGTCTTTGTGGGCTACAACAGCACCGGGGCGGAGCTGCGACATTGGTCAGATATGCTGGCCAACCCCAGGCGACCCATTGCCCAATGGCACACCCTACAGGTAGAGGAGGAAGTTGACGCCATGCTGGCCGTCAAGAAGTAAAGGGAAGAAGAAGCCTTTCTGCATTTGCCCACGTAGTGCTCTTTAGCCAGTATCTGTAAATACCTCAGTAATATGGGTCCTTTCATTTTTCCAGCCATGCATTCCTAACACAATTCAGTGGTACTTCAAATCCTGTTTTAATTTGCACAGATTTAAACGTAGAGAGCCCCTAAGCCCTTCGTCATACCACTGCTCTCCAAATCTACTCTTCTTTTAAGCAATATGATGTGTAGATAGAGCATGACTGAAATTATTTATTGTATCACACCGTTGTATATACCAGTATGCTAAAGATTTATTTCTAGTTTGTGTATTTGTATGTTGTAAGCGTTTCCTAATCTGTGTATATCTAGATGTTTTTAATAAGATGTTCTATTTTAAACTATGTAAATTGACTGAGACATAGGAGAGCTGATAATATATTATATGGTAAATATAGTATCGTCTGCATTCCAGCAAAAATATCAACTTGTAAGGCACTAGTACAGTGAAACTGACATCTTAAAGGACAACTTAAACCTGAGCTTTCTGTTGAATCATATGAGCACCAAGATACGCTGACACCACATATTTGGTGGATGAATCCAATTTTGTAGAATTTCTTCACAGGCAAATTAGCATGATCTGAGAAGCATCCAGCCTGACCTCCAGGAAGTAGAGCCACAAACCAGAATAGCATCTGTCTGTACGTATCTACAGAGCTCAAGTCACGCTTCACTCTTACATTCAAGGAAGCCACTGAACAGGGGTCAATGATTTCACGTTACTGCATATAGAGTAATGACACGATGGTGTTCTGTGTGTGTGTGTGTGTGTGTGTGTGTGTGTGTGTGTGTACGTGTGCATTTGTTTGGGGATGGGGTGGGTGGGAAAAAAGCTGAGGGGAGAAGAAGTCAGCATTTCTGAAATACTGCCTGACTATTTAAAAAGAAAAAAGTAGCTCTCCGTTAACACCTTTATACAAAATGTGCATCCTGTGAATTCTGTTCCAGATTTCACACCTACTATAACTTCAAAAGGTTTGCACGTCAGACTTTGTAACAAAATATTTTATTATACAAAACCAGATTAGAAGGAATGCAGAATATTTTTAACGCAGCAATCTGTGCTTATGACACAAAATGACTTTGTGGTAAGCAGACAGTATTGTAATCCCATCAAAAGAGGAAAAAATAAAACAATTAGCCATAGTTCTGAATGCACTTCCATTAAGCCAAAACAGACAGCTAGTGATCTTTTTATATGCTCTTTTTACGTAAATAAGTTTTAATTTGTCCTTTAAAAAAAGGTGAAACAAAACCAAGAACAAGTTCTAGAAAACTGAAGCAACCTCTTATGTATACTAGATGCTTGATTTAGAGGAGTTTTTAAATGTTTTCAGTGTTATTATGTAGTGATTGGCACTATTACGAAGCTACTAGTCATTCCATAAGAGTCTTAAAGGACTGCTCTGTGTAACACTGTGACTGCCCTGTGTGCTTAGACACGTAATGTAGTTTCCTCAGTGGATAGCACTCAATCTATTCCGTAGTGATATTGTAACAATACTGCCATTCCCTCCTACTGCACTGCCCAAGGTGTGTGTAGCACAAACCGTTCTCATTACAAAGGACCAATTCAGCACTGAAAAGCTATGCATAGGACAAGAAAGATACAAAGCATGGGGTGGAACACACAGCATTTCGTCAAGCACTGTGCAATATTCCATATTTTTCCCCACTATGTTAGACCCCCGCTTTGCCGAAAGGCAGCCCATGATCTCACACTGCATGTGGCCTTTTCTCCCACTCCCCTCTGTGACCCTTTTCACTCGCAGGCCACAGAGAGTAGTGATGCTCTGAAGTGAAAGTTTTGTCTCCAAAAATACGAAAACAAAATGAAGGAAAACTAAGCATCGGCCTCACGTTGACTTTCAGATATCACACCATGGCTTTTACAACTGCAAAGAGAATTCAAAAAGGGCTGATGGGAAGCTTCAAACACGGGGTTGGCTGTTTCCTGATAAAACTACAATTCCTGTCTTGTTCTTTCCTCATCAAAGAAGAGGCAAGCCCTTTGGCCTTTCAGCCCAGTCATAGCAAACTCCTTAGAACTGGGATAGACCTGGAGGACAAAGGGAGAATAACATCTCCCTCTTCCGTGGATGGTCCATACTTTTTTCAAAAGGTAGATAATAGAAAATGCACAAGTCACGATGTGAGATTAAATACCAGTTTGAACAGAAGATTCAAATGAGACTCCTTCCAACTTAAAAGATCAGACCCTACCAAAGAGAGGGAGTTGACTGACTTTTAAAAATTCCTTGAATACCAGAAACTGACATTTGATTTCACCATATTTCAGTTTTAAGTTGTTCGCGCTGAAACAAACATTTTGAAACAAGCAGGTTCGAGCTGCCAAATACACATCATTTCTTGCATTAAAGCACGATTAATGCATTCTCTTGCAACACTGCCAGACATGGGATATTGTCACGATAGAATTAGTTGGTACTACGCCACCTGTCACAAGTCAGTGACCAAACCTGCTTTAAGACCAAGATTCATCCTCCAATAAGCCACATGTACCTTTCTGACAAAGCTGTGTAAAGTATTAGAATCTGATGCTCTAGAAAGATCCTAGTTGCCTTTGTGTATATTTACTGCCTGCTTGAGTGCTTCTCTGTGTGGGTATTCTCTGTATCTTGTAGAAATGTTGGGGTGTTTTCTTCTGCCATATGGCTCGTGGCCCGCGAGTCAACTCCTTAGCTGTATTTTACCTTCATTTTTGATGAGGTAGTTTAAATTTTGTTTCATTTTGTGTAGTGAATTCCACAGGAGTTTTCTGATTGTTGTTAAAAATGACTTAACATATTACACAGATATTCAATAAAAATGTTTTATTTCCTGTTGATGTTGCTGCCTTTCAACCCTTTTTCTTACCTGACTCTGGTGGGGAGTCCATGGCCTACTGACTTTGGAGCCTGCTGGAAGCAGGGGCACCTAAACAAAAGCTTGCACTGAATGCCAACCTCTGAGTCATGTCTATGAAGACAGAATGGCTGGAGGGAAGACAATGCCCAGAGAGCATTTGTCCATTCCTGCCCAGTGTTCCTGGGCATGTCTTTCTCAACATGTGTCTCTCTGTTCCTGTTTATGATGAGTTCACCAGGCACACTTTCAGGCTTCCTGCTTTGCCCAAAATGTGTCCTCCAGGATTTTCATACTCTAGAGTCTGAGTCCCATAAGCCTCTCCAGAATGGAATTAAAAATAAGATATTTTAAAGCCAGTCTTCAAAGGAGAGCATGACACATTAACTTCCCTGCCTACCACAATTACTAGGTAAAACAAGTAAACACCTTTCCCCCACTAAATGCAACATTCATCAGGTGCCTGCTGTGTACCGTGTTTTTCCTGGGTGATGGAGACACAACAAATGATGTAATAAGATTCACCTGGTCCCAAAGAGCCCACAGTCTCAGGCGGACATGTACATGCAGTATCCCAAGATGCTATGAGGTACACCCTGAGTCCCTGAGAACTTTCACCAGACCAATCCTAGTGGACACGATGGTGTGCCACCCTCACTCCCCTTCAGCACCTAGAAGCTGCTAGAAGCCTTGCCTGCCGACAGCTCACAGCCCTGTCCCTCTGCCCTCTGCTGAGGAGACTGCCTTACCTGAGGTCATGCGTCCTCCCAGGGGGTGCAGCTCACATTCCGTGGCCCACAGTGGACCTCCTGCGCCGTCATGGCCGAGAGGGTTAGTTGACGGTGCTTGTGCAACTGCAGTGCTGTTCGACTTCTCCCTCTGCCCAGTCAGTAGTCCTCACTGCTTCACGGGGGGCGCTCCCAAGGGCGCTCGCCAATAAGAGTCCTTCTCAGAATCCATACCCTGGGATCCCTGTCTTTGGGGGAAGAGATAGGAAGAGAAGATTTCTAGAGAATACAATACCAGAGGGAAATCCTAAAGGAACTGGTAGGAGTTATCCAAGTCCATGAGTGGGCAAGACTGTGGCAACATTCATCTCATTTAACAAGGCTTAAGGTTCACTCACGATAAGGTCTCTGGTAGCTGCCTATACCTTACTCCCTTCAGCAGCATTTACTGGGCCCTGCCAAATAAGGGTAAGGACTAAGCCCAAGCAGCTTAGACAGCCAGGGAAGAGGCCACCTCACTACTGTTTCTGAGGAAACAATTGGCAGAGGTCTAAATGTAAGTTGACAAAAGAAAATTTGAGACCCATGAGGGTAAGGAGCAAAAAAAAAGAAAAAAAAAAAAAAAAAATCAGCATTATAAATTGTTCAGTTTTCAATGGTGAGCATTTTGTTTTCCTTAAATAGCTCTTGACATTAGTTTACAAAAAGAATGTTTCTTAATGAAGTACCAAAAAGAAAAATCACCATATGCTTTCTTCAATGTCTGTATTTCAAATAAGGAATTTAATATAAGAATTTGGCCCCATAAAAGATCTGAGAAAGCCAAGCAGAGGCAGCAGGTTAACTCAGAGGTGAACAGATACCACCTGTAATTATATGCTAGGGCTGCCCTAACAAAATACCACAGACCTGGTGGCTTAACCAACGAAAATGTATTTTCTCACAGTTTTGGAGGTCAGAAGTCTGAGATCAAGGTGCTGGCAGGGTTGGTTTCTTCTGAGATCTCTCTCCTTTGCTTGTAGGTGGCATCTGGTCCCTGTGTGTTCACCTGGACTTCCCTCTATGTGTGTCTGTGTCCTAACCTCCTCTTCTTATAAGGACATGAGTCATATTGGATTAGGGTCCACCCTAATGACCTCATTTACACTTAATTACCTCTTTAAGCACCCTATCTCCAAATACAGTCACATTCTGAGGTATTAAGGGGTTAGGACTTCAGCATATAAATTGGGGGTGGGGCGTAACTGAGCCCATAACACCACCCCTAAGGCTGGAAAAACAAAATGGAGAAGAGATGTTAACACAGCCCAGAACCATAGCGGAGGGGCCAGAACCTGTGGGAATTAGCATGGAACCACCAAAGGGTCTTGGGTGCTGGTGTTGGAACCAACAAAGAGGCTCCCCATTGGAGGCTCAACCTGGGCCTCCCACCAGCATAACCTAATCAGAGTCAGCTGGGGAGGGAGTCCGGGCATACATAGCCAGCACAGAAAGGTGGGAATGAGGGTGGAGAAAAAGCAGGCAAATGACCAATACTTTAGGTGTCTCAGTCCATTCAGGCTGCTATAAACAAGAATACCGTAAACGGGATGATTTAAACAACAAATATTTATTTCTCACAGTTCTGAAGGCTGGGAAGTCCAGGATCAAGGCACCAGCAGATTGAGTGTCTGGTGGGAGGTGGTCTTCTTGCTGTGTCCTCACACGGGGGAAGGGACAAGTGAGCTGTCTCTGGGGTCTCTTTTATCAGGGCACAATCCCATCCATGAGAGTTTCACCCTTGTAACTTAATCACTCCCAAAGCCCCCCACGCCACCTTCTAATACAATCACTTTAAGTGTTAGGATTTCAACATAAGAATTTCAGGGGGACATAAACATTCAGTCCATAACATTAGGAAACTTTTAGCAGCTGCACAGGTTTTCTAAATGCTCTGGTTTCTTCCCTGTAGGATTCAGGTGTTCCTATCCGAGCCACACCTGATGAAACAGGTGCAAGAAATCACAGTCTTCCATTTATGCAGAGAGTTGACTAATACAGATTTGAAAGTTCCAACCAAGATTGCCATTACCCACTCCCTGCAACACAACTTTATTACATATGCACAGGACTCTTTGATGTGTAGCAACTGATTTAAGCTGCACACAAATCTTTACTGTAAAACAGTCAGACGGTGACTTTGGAATAAGAAGGTTAAAAAAGCAGGAAAATAAAAATGAGAAATAGCCTGATACTAAATGTACAAAGAACTTTTCCAAAGCATACAGAATAATAATTATGCTGGAGGAACCATCAAGAGGGAGCAGTAATAAAAGCACCATGCAAACCTGCTGATCATTTCTGTGTGATCTAAGTTCTGAGGCTGCCTGTAAGTTACCTGCATCTTAAAGTCTGCATTTCAGCCATACTGATTCCTTCCCCCTCCCCGACCAATACATATCCCCAAAGTTCCCACACTCATCCTTCTTTAACAGTAACCATCTTGCCAGCAAAGGCTTTTTCCCTGTGCAAAATGGACTTGCCCTCGCCAGAGCACACACAAGGTTAAAAGGGATTTTGTACTGAACAAGTCAGGGCTCACTTGCTTCTCAGCTGTCCACTTTACTTTGGTCACTTTCCTACCTCCTCTGGTCTGGGAGTGAAGCAAAGAGGTGACATCCTTTATAGGCAGGATTTTTTGAGTTGCCTGTGGAAGGAACCCAATTCAAGCTGGGTTAAGGAGAAAAAGAGAGGGAGGGAAAGGGATCCAGGGCAGGGAGAGGGAGAGAAAGACAGATACAAAGAGAGACAGAGACAGGGCTTCCCTGGTGGCGCAGTGGTTGAGAGTTCGCCTGTCGATGCAGGGGACACAGGTTCGTGCCCGGTCCGGGAAGATCCCACATGTCGCGGAGCGGCTGGGCCCGTGAGCCATGGCCACTGAGCTTGCACGTCCGGAGCCTGTGCTCCACAGCGGGAGAGGCCACAACAGTGAGAGCCCCGCGTACCGCAAAAAAACAGAACAAAAAGAGAGACAGAGACAGAGAGAGGAACTATTAGCTCATCTAACCAGGAAGTTCAAGTTATGATTCCATTCAGAAACAACTGGATCAAGGGTCACAATGTCATCATTCTCTTTCTCCCTCCTCCCCCCCAACCCCTGTCCAACTCTGTTCCCAGTATTACTTCATTGTCAAGTTCCAGTGTCTCCATGATGGCCCCTAGCACCTCCAAACTTCTATTCTTCCAGCTTAGCACACTTGCAGAAAGTGCCACTTTCACAATTATGTCGCTAAAGTTCCCAGACCTGACTTCCATGCTTGCGGCACATGCCCTCCTTAAAATAACCACTGTGGCCACATGATGCAGTGTTCACTTTGGCCAAGCCTAAGTGTTGTCCCAGCCCAAGAGCCACAGAGATGGAGCAAGGATAGTTACTCAAAGGAAAATCGAAGTGCTCTTACCAAGGAAGAAAAGTGGTACTTAGCAGACAAAAACAACATGCATCTACTCGTTGGCCTTGGTTCGCCTCTGCCCCAAGAGGAGGAAAGCTGAAGGTACAAACTCAGCCACGGCAGCAGCCTGGTCATTTTTCCTTTTGACCAAAAGCACTATCAGGAAGGGAATTTTGAAAGTATGCACCACCTTTCAACCACCTGAAAACATCCGTGTTCACCTTCCTACTTATTGCCAGGAAAACCAGTCAACTGCTATATATTTTAAGCAGCCTCTTTTGAAAAGCACTGAGATATTAACACAACTTTAGATTCCTGAATTTGTAAAAAGAATTTGTTATTATTATAGAAACTTATCAGGAGGAAAGGGAAATAGGAAAAATTCACTCTACATACCTTTCTTGTTTTTACAAATGGACTGTCTTGGTCCATATATACAATCACCCTTTAGATGGTGATTGTATAGAATTTAGTATCAACTTCTTTCACTTAACGTGAAACACAAGATTTTTTTCTTGTCGCCACACAGTCTGTAATTCTTATTTTTAACGGCCACCTGACTTTTCTTCAGATAGACAAACAAAAATGTATTTGACCATTTCCCTAATAGCAGATTTTAAGTTGTTACTAATTTATTTCTTATATAAATAACATTGTAGTGATACTTTAGTGAAGATTTTATTTATTTATTATTCTGTTAATCTATTATTATCTATTTTCTCAAGATAAGTTTCCAGAATTTCCCAATTTGGTTTCTGGAAGTTCCCACCAAAATGCACTGCTACTGGTGTTATGTACTCCAGTTTTCCCACAGCCTTCCCAGCTGTGGTCATCATGCTTCGAATGTCTGACAGCTGTAGAGGGTCATGTTGCCTCGGTGATAAAAGGTCCAGGGCTGGAATATGAGTCTTTCCATTCCAGGGCCACTGCCCTCCTCACTACTCCAGGCAGCTTGGCTAAAGAAAATCAATGGCAGGAGTAAAACGTTGGCAAAGAGCCTGAAAAGAAAGGACAACAGGCGAGAATCTCAAGGAAGAGAAGGCCCAGGACGAGGAGGGTTCAGATGGGACTCTTTCCTCGTTCTCACCTTCACCATCAAATCCAGGGACTCTGAGCGCTGGGGAGTCTCTCCGGTCCCTCCGTGTTTCTTTAAACCCCTTGTTCAGGCTTGCATCTTATCTTACCATCAGTGTCACAGAAGCCTCACAACAATCCCTCCCAACACCCAGCCTCACTGGCTCCAGCTCTCACTGCAGACCGGACAAAGCACCACCCTGAGAGCTGGCAGCCTGCGTTCAAATCCTGCTCCCATCACTAAGCTACATAGCCCTGGACAAGCCACCTACTTTTGCAAATAAAAGATAATTGATATGAAAACCTGGTATAAAATAAGCATTCAATAAACGTAGTTATGGTCTTTCTGAATCTAGCTCAGTGTCAGTAAACTTCACCTGTAAAAACAGCTTTCGGGGAGCTTTGTGGGCAATATGTTCTTTGTGGCACCTTCTCTTCTGGCTGTCTGGCAGTCATCCATCCCTCCTTTCTTTCCAACCCTTTAAAGATGTAAAACCCCCTGCACTTGCTTCGGCAGCACATATACTAAAAATGTAGAAACCTTTTGTAGTTCACAGACCATACAGGTACAAATGGCTGTAGTTTGCGGACTAGCTTCGAGTCACATCACTCTGCTTCTTAAAAGCCTCCCCTGGGCCTTCCCTGGTGGTGCAGTGGTTAAGAATCTGCCTGCCAATGCAGTGGACACAGGTTCGGGCCCTGGTCCAGAAAGATCCCACATGCCGTGGAGAAACTGGGCCTGT